AGTTCCTCTGTGCTTGAGTTTCCTCGGCGGGGCACGAACGGCATCGGCACTCGCTGCGTTTGTGCTCGAGCCGCTGAAAATTCTTGAATGAGCTGCCTTTGTGGGCATCGGGTGGATGCTTCCACTGGAATGTTCTGCACTTGCTGCTGATTTGTCAGTGTAGTCATAACGGTACCGAATTGGGCCAATAAGAGCTCGAGTTGTTGCTCAACTCGGGTTGATGACGCTTGTGACGTCGCATGTGTCTCGTCTGACGTTGTCTCGTCTGCTCTTGCAGGCAACTGCAACTCGTCGGACGCGCGCGAGCTCTGCGTACTCCGGACTGGGCTTCCAGCTCTCCTTCTTGGGCTCATAACCTGAGTGATGGTCGCTCCTCGGCTACGCCGAGTGGTGACCATTGTGATGAAGGAAGTAGTCGTAACAACAGTAAGTTGCAGGGACTGAAAGTCCAGCAGGGGAGAAAACCGAGTGCTGCTGCTTGCTCTTGACGGCGCAAGTTGTCGAGTGTGTAGCAGCACACGGAAAAACCCCGGTAACATATATTGGTAGGATTAGCAGTAGGATGGGGCTGGCGGCTCGCCAGCCAATGGTCCGTCGAAGTCCGGCTTCTGGACGCGAGCATCGCGTCCTGGAGGCACCTGAGCCTCAGGTTTGAGCTGGACGCAGTCCTGGCTCTTCCTCCACACTTCACAGTTCCGCCCACAATACATACTCCTGCATGTATTTGCTCACCACCTTGATGGCCTTGTTCCTCAGCAGATGCACAGTGACAAACCGAGAATAGCCATCTATTATCACCAAAACAGCCTCGTATTGAGTCGCATTGTACTTGCCCGGAACCAAAAGGTCCGCGTACACTATGTGGTTAGGTTTCTCCAGTCATCGGTCCAGCTTCTTTCGGTGTGGTCTCATCTTCTGTTTTCAATGCGACAAGCATCACATGTGCCTTGCTACCGCTGTGTTTACATCATTCCCTGCACTAACGCTTTGTCAGCCATAATCTTTAGGTACTGTGGACAGATATGACACAATCTCTCATGTCAGAGCTGCAACGAACCAACCTTTTGAGCCATGGTGTGGTTGCACAGTGATGCTTCTTCAGGAATTACTCTTGTCTGTTGAGTTGAACCTGCTACCTGGAAATCCCCCTGAGAGGGCTGTCGGGGGGGGCGGCTGGCAACCGGCCCACTTGTTCTTTCTTTTTCTCCTCAGAGAAGGTTTAAAAAATTTACCGGGTTGTACGTTGTTCGAA